TGCATGAGGCTTTGCGGGGGACATTTAGGCACAGACCATAACACCTAGTGAGTGACACACCAGTTATCCCAAAAATTACCTCCACAGTCTCCTTCAGTGGGGCCCTTCTCTATCTTGTCCATGCTCCACACTGAAAGTCACTGACTAGCTAGCTGTAGAATGTGCCTACTCAGTTGGTATGTGTGCAGTAGCATGTTGGTTGGGTTCAGTCTACATATCTTGGCCAGTGCGTAGAACAGGTACTGCGTTCTTTACATTTATTCCATCCGAAACACATGATGCCTGTTCATGCCAGTTGTGGCATTTTTAAAATCAATTAAGGTAGGATGGGCTGTGATTTAGTCTATTTTATGTTGCTGTAATGACCTGAGATAGGCTACTTATGAAGAAAGAGATTTATTTAGCCAACAGTTTTGGAGGCTGAAAGTCCAAACAGCATAGCACTGGCTCTGGCAAGGATTCCATGACAGATGGGCAAGGAAGGAAGGGTTACATCTCCAAACAGGAAGACAGAGACTGAGATCCTTCAAGCATACCTGAGGGCAGGCCCCAAATACCCTTAGCACTGCCCATGAGGTTCTACCTGGCAAGAGGCCTGCTACCTTGTACATCACACTCGGGACCCAGCCCCCAACACATGGGCCCTTGGGAGATAAACCACATCCAAACCGTAGTGCCAATCTTCTTCCCTGTCAAATGGTACTTTTTTCTTTTTTTTTTGTTTGTCTTTTTGAGACAGGGTCTCACTATGCAGTTCAGGCTGGCCTTGAGCTCACTTTGTAGCCCAGGCTGGTCTCAAACTCGAAACGATCCTCCTGCCTCAGCCTCCCAAGTTCTGGGATTACAGGCCCCACCACCACACCTGGCTATCCATTTATTTCTTTTATTTTCCCATTTATTTCTTGACACATACATTATTTATTATATTTTACTTTTACATAAATTATAAAATTTATTAATAGATTAATATTATTTTTATTTTACTCTAAGTCTAGGACAAAGGCCTTAGGCCAGGGATGCTGAGGATGCCACTCAGAGAACAGCCCCAGGAGTCAGTGCCTCATAAATTCCAAGAGCTGGGATTTGGAGCTGGGCTGGCTCATGCCTGTAATCCCAGCACTCAGGAGGCTAAG